TCTCATCTGTGACAGAAGGTAACGCTGGCATCTCTGGGATAGTTGCAGCAGCAATCTCTGTGTCTATTACCGGCTCTGCAGCTTCAATAGGCACCGAGGGTTCAGCAGGTGGTGCAGCTTCAGTTGGTTCTGAAATTTCAGCTGGTGCTGAAGACTCAGCTGGTGTTTTTGTTAAAGCTTCGCTTGGTGCAGGTAAAGCAGCCTCTGGTTCAGAATTGTCTGCTGATGCCTGCGCAGGTGCAGCCACTTCAGCAGGCGCCCCCACAGCCTCGGCTGAAGCCTCTTCCGTAATAACTGGGTTCACAGTTGGCTCAGATATAACCGGTTCAGCGACAGGCGCTGCAACCACCTCCTCAGTGATGGCAGAGGCCTCTGCCTGCACCGCTTCAGCTGATGATTCAACAGCAGGGGCCTCTTTTGCAGTCTCAACAGGAGCTTCAACCTCAGGAGGGGGTTCTGCCTCTACAGTTTCTACAGGAGCAGCTTCTTCAGCCGGGGGTAGTGCCTCAACAATTGCTATAGCAGCCTCAGGCTCAGCAGGAGCAGAAGCAGCAGCCTCTGGCGCTGTCTCTTCAGTAGCAGTAGTTTCTTCCTTTATCTCAGAAGCAGCTAGAAGGTCCTCCCCAGAGCCAAGGTCCTCTTGGGCCTCCAGGGCCACTAACACAGCCTCAGCTTCATCATCAGCACCCCTCTGAAGATCATCGGGTAACGCAGTCTGCACAGGAAGCTGCATCTGGTCCTCGATGGTTTGAGGATCTTCTGCAATGATGCCGTTTTTGACTGCTGTCAATGCAGAGATGACAAATGAAGAACTCAGTTAACACTTATGACTGACACAAGTGCAGCATTGATCAGCAGGCTCAGCTAATGATAATCATGTTAGTGTGTAACACTGAATTCATGACAATACTGAATAACAAAAGAAGGATTGTAGAAGGTTCTTCAGGTAGTTACGTGTTTAATGGTTCTTTCCCAGTTGTTTTATTCCCACACAAAAAATGTTTTGTAAATGTATTGCATCTATATGTGGACCACTAAAACTGTAAAAACCCTAAACCTATCAATAGAGCAAAACTTTTAAATCAAGTTAACATGAAACGCAGGGGAAAGGAAATTAGCAATAAGGGGCACACAGAATGCGTGCTGAGGAAAACTTCCTTTCATTTCCGTAGTTGAGAGCTCGTGTTTGTCTAGAGCCCTGAGGACACGCACTCTCAGAGGAAGAACAATACACGCGATGATGACTTGCTGAATTTAAAGAGATGTCTCTACCTTTAGTCTCCCTCCCCAGTCTCTGCTCTTCCACACACTGTGGGTGTGAACAGGCTGCAGTATGCAACAATAGTGGGCTTGAATACTTGGACTCAAATATCAGAAATGTCAATGCACATCTCAGTTACGGGACTCACAGAAGACTAACAGCTTTTGCCCTGTCTTATTTCACAGCTAAAACACCAAAGGGATATTGTTCACAAGCAGAAGGGTTCAGTTAGCTGAATGGGTGGATAGTTTGGAAGCTGCAGCTTCCTGATTTTATTTGTCTGTCAGAAGCACAAAAAGGGCTGAGAGTGATGGGTGGAAGGGAATGTGACGGCCTGGCAACTTGAATGAAAATGAGCCAGTGGAAGAACACGCAATGCATAGAGGTGTTTATGTGAGCTCAGTGTTGTTATTAACATGGTGACTGAGGGAATAGTGTAAAACTGCATAAAAGTAAAGGTGTTTTCAGATATTTTTATCGGTTTTCCACCAGGTCCTACTGTTTAATCAATGGCACCCACTATCAACAGAGACTAGAAAGCTGTTGTCCGGACAATAACCGAGAACTTGTGTTAAAAAATATGCGAATGTGTGTGTTTGGGTTGAGACAGACACAGCCACTCCAGGCATGGATGACTTGTGTGTCAACATGATTTCACAGCCAAAGATGACAGAGATCCCAGTCAAAACAGTGCCATTAGAGGGAGGAGGGGGGCACACAGACCAGGGGCCCAGACTGGGGATGGGACCATTGGTGGCTTGGATGGTACACAGCTGGTTTGTCAGACAGACCGTATACTGTACGATTTAAAACCTCCACCCATTCAGACACATTTAGAAAAAGCCCGCCCAGGCAAGGAGCACAATAACTGGTTTTCTTGCCGGAATGATGTAAAAGCCTGGAAAAGAGACCCATGCTTTTCCAGGTGACTCAAGCTGATTGGCAGGAGAGACAATACTGTGACACAAGAGCGGTGCAGTGGCACTGGGGAAATGGAACACCTCACAAAAAGAAACTGTGGCGGGCAGGAATATGTTTAGAACATTTCAGGTTACTTCCTCAAAAGCGAGATTACATCTTTCGACTGCTGTCACACTCTCTAACAAGGCCTGCGTGTGTCCTGCTGCGTGTGTGTATGTGGGGAATGTCAGTGATAACATGCTGAACATGCAGCTGTGCTGGCATGACCAAGACATGTGTCACAAAGTTGTACGGAGCCGTGAATGAACAATCATGGGCTGTGGCAGGCCATTTGATGGGTTTCTGCACAGGCTTGAATACGGAGCACATATACTGTATGCAAAACCTGTCAAACCAAGGCAATTACACAGAGAGCAGGACTGCATGTTTTGGATGCAAAACTTTTTAAGAGCTCTGCTGTGCAGAATATCAGAACATCAGTGTCCAGGCTTGTAAAAGAGCAACTTTAAGACACTCCTTAATTATAACTGAAGTGTTGCATGTTTTGATAAAGGAAATTTTAAAACATCAAGCAATCATATCTGTTTGATTTTATTTCTTTAAACTACTGTTTGAAATATCAGTTAAAGATCCCATTACAGTACAAAACTGTCTGGATTTGCCTCAGGCTGCAAATAGGCCTCTAAACACTCCCAGCTGGCTTTCACACAGCGATATGCTTTAAGAGCTGCACTCAACCCCCGATGGGTTCAAGCAAATCTAAACGCTGAATTATCTTTAGGGAACGCTTTTTGAGAATTTCTCCAAATTTCTCAGGTCACATTTCAACAATAAAACATAGTGATGTTCACTGTTTTGTCCTGATACATTCAACCATCATTCTGATGAGTTAAAAACGATTCAATGAAAAAAGAAATAATAACAACCACTTATGGGTTTGATAAAGTGGATAAGCGTGAATGTTTCTTCCGTGAGGTACTAAAGTATGCTGCCTAGCAGAGTATAAGTGAGAAAGCACAACATGTACTAGAGCAACCAGCAGCAGCACCCCTGAGCAAGACCTGACTGAGTAAAGTAACAGAGCCTTGGAGCAACCACTGTATACATTTTATGAAATGCATACATACTCATGATCACTACTTACCCACTGTGTCTCCATTGCTCTCCTCAGGCTTTGTGCCTGGTCTTTTTTCTTGATCAACGGTCTGTGCACTGGATGAGGAGCACCCCATGTTTGGGGGGAAAAAATGGGTTGAGATGAATCAAAAACTTGGAATAGGAGCAAGCAAACACGAGTCTCAGCGCTTTCTGTTTTCAGAGACTGTTTGGCAGTGAAAACGTGGAACGCTGAACTCTCTCCAGTTCCTAAGAGTAACTGAGCACCATTATATCCCCTTGTCTGTCTGTGTGTTCATGCATGGCCTGCTGCCCTCTTGCCCCAGACAACGATGTGTTATGACCATGCAGCTAGGCAATGCAGGCAGTACTGCTGAATGCTCCCTGACTGCTTCCTGCTCACAGTCACACTATTCATACAGGAGGAGGAGGCAACATGTGCATGAAATGTGTGTGCGTGTGTCCTCCCCTCTATAGGAGTGCCCCCTCTGGATGAGATCCACCACCTTGTGGTCATGTTTATAATAGCAAATTCTTAATAAGTAGATATTTTTTTAGTTTTATTGTTATAATTATTTTTCGTCAGCAAAACCAGCAAAAGTTTAAAAATGCTGAATGAATCCATTGCTTGCTTTTTTACTTTTAGTCAAAAGTTTAAATGCCATAGATGACTGCTTAGAATTGTTTATGGTGAAAATATCATTTTTTAAAAAGCCAAAATTATGAAGTGTAAAATGTTTATTTGTCAGTCTTCTGTACAAAGAGTTAATTATGCGATATTCCATTACATAACATTAACAATACTTCAGAAGGAATACACTGTAGTTTTAGAAGAGCTTATAAATATCTTCAGTAGGAAGAGCTGCATTTGCATATGTTCCATCATAGCGTGTTGAGCAGGATTAAAGGGATCCTGGAGATGCCGCAGAGTAGAGACTGATGAGTCTCGACCTTTCATTTATGCACAAGTTGATTCTCAAGAGTCTCCAGCCTCTTTGACATGGCTGCAAGTAGGCATGTTAAGGAGTTACTTATACCTCTCTGGCCAGTGAAGTTTTAGACCTGTTACTGGGAAATGATTGGATTTCCTGATGTAGTGTAAGTTAAAATGCATTTGCCACCCTTAAAGCTGTTTATACTGTCATGTCATCAGTGTGATTGAGGTAACTGAGAAATCAGCTGACAGATCTGGTATTTATCAGCCTCTGCCTGCTCCTAATCAAAGTTTTAAAACCTTCTATGAAGCAACTATTATGCTGATTACCTGCAACAATAAATTTAGTCTTTTGATCACAAGTTATATATGTATATAAATTTGATCTATGCAGACTTTTCCCAAAAGGCTATCCCTCTACCAGCTGCCGTAAGATGAAAGGAGGGCTACACCCTGGAAATGTTGTCAGCCTATTAGAGAGCTCCCAAGTTTAATATGAGTAACCAGGGTCCCTTTAAAAATGTGTCATAATTGAAATTTTTGACGCATAATGAGAGTTTTCTGAGATCACAGGACAAAAGAGACATCGTGGGATTAACCAGCGTCTGATCCCCACTTAACCTACATTTTAAAACGTGTCCTTAAGCGAAAGTGAGCGTCAATGGAATAATCCAATTTAGCTGCAAACTGTGTTCAAGGTTTTTAAAAAACACATAACAAAACACATGAATGACACATGAAATAGTTTGGCAGTGGCAATCCTGAGCATTAGTAACTGTGCAGTGAGCACAAAAGGATATTATTCTGAACCAGGCTCTTCAGCTTCTCTGTGACTTGGTTTTGAAACATTATCATGTTTTCACACTGGCACATGTTTTCATCAGATGGTTTATCTGCAGAAGAAAAGTTGATAGGTTGTGAAAGACTTTCGGTCCCTGGATTCTTTTTCTTATCTCGTCCTTTCTCCCCTAATCCTTTTCTGCTTTCTTGTCTCTGCCTGTGAAGAATGTGAGGGACATGCAGGGAGGACATATGACTGCAGAGCATAAAAGACTGATGAGTTACTTGATATAATACAGTAGACGGTATTGCACAGAGTGGCTGCTCTGCTCACAGGTTACCATGGCAGCAGCAGATAGGTGGCAGTAACGTTACATTTTTTCACCAATCTGCCCTTATTATAGCTCCACTTTGCCTGAATTAGCCTCAATTATAGCATTAGTTTCATCTATTAAGAAAGATCACACATATTTTTGAGACCCTTGCAGGGATTCCTGTACTTCTGCCTTGTGTGGAGTACCTGCACATATCCTGGACTTGAGTTTCTTTGTAATTTCTGCCATTTTTTCAAAATCCTCAGCGTAATACAAGTGCTTCTCATCTGGCTCCGACGCAATTTCTCTCAGCTCCTGTTCGATGGCTTTGCCAACTCCCAAAGCGTATATCGTGATCCCTGAAAAGTATCAGAAAGCATCATAACAACATGAAACTTGTATTAGGAAGAAGGTACTCTGAGGTTGTCGTACATCGGGATGACTAGAAATACCGGAATTCTTTGCTTTAGTGGCCCATTCAGAAACATCATCTTGTGATCGTCCATCAGTGAACACGATGCTGACACGGGGAATGTTGAACCTGCCGCCTTCTTTGGTTGAAAAACTAGACTCAAACATGTGGCGCAGGGCTGAGCCAGTCATGGAGCCCCTTCCCATGTATTGCATCCTGTTCACGGCACTCTTGATGTGTTGTGCTGTGGAGTACTGGCCCAAGGTGAACTCTGTGCGTACCTTTGTGGAGTACTGAAGAAGACCCACATGAGTGCCCGTCTTAGAAATGTCCAGCGAGTCCACAATGCTGTTTACAAACTGCTTGACCAACTCAAAGTTGTTGGGGCCCAGACTCTTGGAGCCATCGATCACAAACACAAGATCCATGACTCCCTCGCTGCACTCGGGTTCTGCCGGAAAAAGAAGGATATTTAAAATATATACCTTTATTTATTTCACATTTTATTCTCAAGAAAACAGTCCGTATAAGAGTAATCCTACTTTTGCAGCTCTTCCCATCCTCAGCCAGCATGAATCCTTCAAAACATCTACAGATGTAGGAATTATTGGTGCTGACACACTGATGCTCACAGCCATGGTGCACTGTCTGACACAGATCCAGACCTTTCAGTTTAATTACACAGAATCAAAGATTACCATGATGTTGCTGTAGCACATATAAGTGTATGGCAGAATTAGCATTTATATGATATATTGTGAGGCTACAAATACAATAAATGGTCTAATAACTCTCTGACATTATGAATGCTGTGTGGTGGTAAACAGAATATCCCTTAATCCAGGGGAGGGAAAAGATATATCTTTTGGTGAGCCATGGGATTAGCGCTGACCTCATAACTGGGTTCAAAAACACACTCGAAGTTATGCAACACATAAATACCCAAATAGGGGACATAAACAATCATAGAAACATTTGAAAACATGCAGATGAAAAACGTCACACTCTGAATTTGGTTTATTTTTGTCTCATGTTGTGCAGAGTGTTATGGTTCTGCAGATGAGATGCCTCTAGAGAAAACTAGTAAAAGCAGAGAAAAATAATAATAAGACTCACTGCAACACAGCTTACTGAAAAGATTCAAACGTAGTTCTATGCTTAACCCACCGAATGCCTGCATTTCAACATCTATCATGTATGTGATGTTCACTTAACACTTACCCCCAACAATGATTCCGAAGTATTTCGGCAATCAGTGTTTTCACATTACAGTTGTGATTCATGGGTCACTAGAAAATGTTAAACAATTCTCTGATGGAGAAACTGTTATTATTTATGACACCGAATGAGCTCAAACTCACTCTGACATGTTTTCCCATCAGGTCTGAGTGTGTAGCCTTTCCTGCATTTGCACACACAGCTGTCTTCAGTGCTCATGAACTCCTGTTCACATCCGTGGGTGCCATCGGCGCAGTGATCGATCTCTGCAGGAGAGCAGTGCTTCCATTATTGCCAAGTTCTTTTAATCAAATTCAGATAAAGCTGAATTCAAGACTCAGTTCAATGCAGTGAATCTATAAATCTGTAATTAATCTCTTACTGTACTCTTACTATAAGTGATGAACGGTGGAGGATAAATGTGTTGCATCATCATGACTACAGCCTCTACTGTTATCAGAATGTGAAAGAAGTTTATTCAAGAGTGGGTAACCCTAATTATTACATTGCTTATTGTGCTTTAACAACATTTTTACAGAGGCATGTGGATGTCAGTTTGCAGCATAACACATGATATAAATCATTCAAGTGTTGCCTCACATTACAGGTATAAGCAAAAGTGTTTTTGTGACAAACCACAGCAATAACACAGAAACACAGTTTAGCTGCACTTACTTTTGCAGGTTTTCCCATCAGATTCGAGTGTGTAGCCTTTCCTGCATTTGCACACACAGCTGTCTTCTGTGCTCATAAACTCCTGCTCACATCCGTGGGTGACATCAGCGCAGTGATCGATCTCTGTTAGGAATCGTTTTGACGGATCACAGAGACAAAGGAGAAATTAAGTAACAAGCAAAAACAGAAGGTTTTAACTAAGTGTTGAATTTTTACATGAAAAATTGTGGATCAAACTGGTTAAACTGGTTTCTATTATTTGAAAAATACACAGAACATTTACATCTTGTAGTTTTTATGTTTGTTTTATTTTATTTTATTAGTGAACACAGAAACAGAGGTAAGTTCACATAACTGAATAATCCTCCCAGACATCAATGTGACACATTTCTACATCAGCCAGTCGAATGCCTTCCATATGCTGAAACATGGTTAGAATTATATGAGACAATAGATGCGAATGTACACATCAATAGACAAGCTATGAATCAATACTTGGGTGTTTTTATGCTCTATACGTATGAAGAATATGTGGAATAACTTTAGAAAAATATGGATAAAAACAGCACCAATAACATGGAAACAGCTCATTTAAAATTACTTTTGCAGGTTTTCCCATCAGGTCCGAGTGTGTAGCCTTTCCTGCATTTACACACACAGCTGTCTTCAGTGCTCATAAACTCCTGCTCACATCCGTGGGCTCCATCAGCGCAGTGATCGATCTCTAGAGGAAGTCATTTTATCAGTACAAAAAGACAGGTAGTGATTACATTTACTAACTTGCAAATTTTGCATTAAATTGTAAAAATAGTTTCCGTTTTCGAAAAATACTGAGCACATAAGAGCCTGCTATAAAGAAAGAGCGCTTCAGGCTTTCCTGTATATTCTTTTATTTCTCAGCTCTGAACAAACAGAAGCAATCCAAAGACCCAAAAAGCTAGATAATCATCCTAGACCTCATGTGACACCTTTACATCTCAGAATCATCCACCAATCTGTCAATTTCTGTACACTCAAAGTTGGCTGGAATGGTATCAGACAGTTGTTGTAGATGTACAAAGCTTTACATGCGTTGTGCAATGTAAAACAGGCGGCTTTCTATCTCTATATAAAAAAAATGTGGAGCTATTTTTTTTTTTAATTAAATATGAAAAAGCACTAAATTTACTTTGGCACGTTTTCCCATCAGGTCTGAGTGTGTAGCTTGTGATCGCAGTGATCGATTTCTGCAAGGACGCATTGGGTGAAATTTATGTCGTGGTTGCTGTAGCAGCACCGTTTGAATGTTTGAATGTTTCATAAGATGCTGTATATTTGCCGCATTATGAATGATAAAAAAAAAGTACTTACTGCTGCAGGTCTTGCCATCGAGATTGAGGACGTAGCCCCTTTTACATGTGCAGATGTAGGACTCTGGAACGGTGACACAGTTGTGCTCACAGCCATGATTCCCCAGGTCACAGTGGTCTATTCCTGGAGAGGATGAATCTCTTATTAGATATTCCACTTTTTCACTGGTTATTTTGTTGTTGTTTTTATGACAAGACTTTTCAGATTAATAAAAACATGCCCAATACAGAAGAATAAGACTGCTAAATCTAATTATTTCGTTTAAAAAAAAATCCACTCTAAAGGTGCAGAGTGTGAACCCACTGTGATGATTGAACTCATTCTTGTTTGGATTGGGATATACTATGACACTCCAGATACACCTCTACATTTCAGCAGCTGCACTGCACTGATGATTGCAAAAGCACACTTCCTTCAGGAAATCTCCCCCACTTTGCTTTTTGTTAACATCCACCGAAGGAGCAAAGGGAAAATTTTCCATCAGTGGGTTAACAGACATCACTGGTAGGAAAAAAAACTTCTCACGGTGACTGTGCCTTTGGGCAGTGTTGGCTTCATGACGCTGAGTTCCTTTATCCAAGACCAGATAAATTTTTGTACTTTATTCCTACTTGCTATATATGATGATTTAAAGCCAACACTTTACTCCACAAACACAACATTGTGGCAGGAAGCAAGTTGTGTTTCCATTATGACTCTAACAATAAGTCATGAAATTTGAATAAAACAGTTTCTTATGAGTAGAAAAATGTAATATTACTGTTGCACGTCTTCAGGTCTATGGTGAGTTGATATCCTGGACGGCACCGACACTCATAACCACGAGGCAGGTTTGCACAGATGTGTTCACAGCCGTGATCCACCACAGCACACGTGTCCTCAGCTGCAACAGTGTGGAGAACAATCACCTACAGTTCAGTGTGCAGAAGGAAACCTGCAGTAACCAGTCAGTCAGGGACAGCAGAAACTAAATATAAGCCAACGAGTGAGACTTTTTAAACTGACACTCCCATTTTACTTTGCTTTGATCTGAGTGAAACTCATGAGTCGCAAGTTGTGTCAGTCTGGTGTAAAAAGGCAACATGAAGGTTTCAGTGATTGTTTTTGCAGCCAAACCGTGAGAGTAAACCAAAAATGAAAATAAGGTGGCCAGATGGGCAAAATCTGTTATGCAAAAGGTCACGTGATCCATTTTTGGTCCTTAAGCCGTCAGACCATCATCAGGTCCTTTGTACAAGTTTTGGGCAGTGTTAAAAGACTGTAGCTATGTAAATAACAGAAGGGAGGGAGTTACCTGTGCACGTCTTGCCATCAGGGTTTAGGATGTATCCTTCCCTGCACTTGCACCTGTATGAGGCAGGGCTACTCACACAGATATGCTGACACTGATGGTCCACCACCTCACACATGTCTGAACCTAATGCACGCAAAAACATTCACAAACACTCAAGCATGATTAGACACACATGCATTTTAGGAATAAAGAGAGACACTTAAAATAGACGGGATTATTCACCTCCACACAGTTTGGACTGGAACACAGAGATCAGGGTTTCTATCTGGCTAAAGTTGGCCACCAGATGCACATGCTCCGAGTGCGGCTCACTCCCTATGGCCCTCAGTGTGTTCATATCCACCCTGCCTACTCCAATAGCAAAAATCTGGATGCCAGCCTGTCTTGCCTGAGCTGCAATCTCCTCTACTGTGTCCTGAGGTCTTCCATCAGTCACAATCATAGCAATTCGTGGGATGTGTAGGTTCATTGGTCGGGCTCCATGTTCCTCGGTGAAGGCTGTCTCCATGGTGTACTGGATGGCCAGACCCGTCATGGTCCCTGTGGCGAGGTGCTCCATATTCGTCACTGCCTGCTCTACCTCGCTCTTGGTGGTGTAGGTGCTGAGGGAGAACTCGGGCTGGACCACACTACCATACTGCAGCAGACCGACCCGTGTTGCATTATAGCCAATCTTGAGGAACTGAAGCAGGTTGATGATGAAGGTCTTCACTTTCTCATAGTCATTGGGACGGATGCTTCTGGAGCTGTCAATCACAAAGATGAAATCCAGCGGGATGGCTTTACATGGATTCTCTAAAATCAAAGACAATGAGGAAGTTTGGGATGAGTTTGGGATGAAATGGCAAAACTGATACAGAAATGCTGTGGTAACCGACTAATCACCTACCAACTGCTTTGATTGGGAAAGTTGTGTTGCTTCTTGCCGTGATGGGTCTGGGGCGGCGTCTGTACGTCTGCGCTGCGTTACAGCACAACAGGCAGAAAAGGCCAAGAGCCAGACACCTCATTGTGATGAAAGACGACAACTGCAGCAGAGTGACGTAAGCACAAAAACAAGAGCTGATCCAGAAGAAACACTTCCACAGTGCAGCGCAAGTAGGGTACAAACCTGATCACCAGGGAGCAAAGATGGAGAAGAGAGAGAGAGAAGCTGCCAAATAGAGGAACCTACTATTTATTTTATATATGTTTGTCTACATGTAGAAACATGGCAAGAAATCTGCATTATAAATGGACTGGTTCTTATAAAGTGCTTTTCTACTCTACTCGAGCACTTAAAGCACTTTATATTACACACGTCATCCACGCATACATTCATACAAGCACTTTTTCTGTGTCTAAGTCCTCTCTATCTGACATTCTCATTAACACTGAATGGGATGCAGGGATCCATATCTTTCCTGAGGATACTTTGGCATGCAGTCTGGGGCAGCAGGGATCAAACCACCAACCTTCCAGTTAGTAGATGACTCGCTCTGCCTCCTGAGCTACAGCCACAGCGTTGTGTTATAATAAACACAAAATCTGACACATGACTCGCTAAGCGTGGTTGGTTGTGATTAGGTGAAGCACCTAGTATCTGGGAATGATTTATACTGGGACCAGCTGCACACGAAAGGTGAGGCTGATTGCAACTGATACATTGCACGTTGAGTAATTTCAGTTTAATGCAGTTTAAATCAAATAAGTTTTGGCGCGGACTACACCTTTCTTGGCTGCTGCCTCAAAGCACATTGTGCGCTGTCTATCTTGCGTGCTGCACAATAGTGTTTAATATTTAGTATCTACTGTTATCTACTGCTAGCTAGTTTATTGTGATGGTGCTGTATTTATTATGTTGCTCTTTTTTTTTGTTTGCTTTCTCTTCTGTTTTTTTTTCTCCATACAGGTGATCCAGGTGTTTTGTTTGTTTTTCTTTCTTTCTTCCCCCCTTTCTCACCATTTCTTCTCCCCTCTGTTTTTCTTTCTCTCCCTCTCTTTCTTTCATTCTTTCTCCCTGTCCTATCTCCCAGTCATGTCTGTCCCGTTTGTAGCAACCGAAAATAAAATAAATACATAATTATAATAAAGGTCAATCAAATGGACCAATATGGCAAGGCCATGATGATCCACTTGGTAAAATAAATCCCCTTGGCATCTTTCTTGGCCTTAAGACAACAATTCTGATGGCTAAAGATCCAAACGGGACAAAAAAAAAAAAGTTTTGGCATAAACTTATGATATGGCAGAATGAAAATGTGCTTCCTAAAGCCTTCAAAGAAAGTGAGCTTCTGTGAATGAGAATGCTTTGCTTCATAGGAGGTTTACAGTGATTTAAGAGAGGCTGAAAAACACCAGACTGCTTCCCTATCCCCTCCCCAAGAGACCCACTTGTTACCCGTCATATTCAGACTCCAGCCTTTACTACTGTCTTAGAAATATCTGTGATCAGTGTAGAAATTACAAATATATTCAAATTTGAAAAAGGAGAAAAGAACAATACAGGAACAATCTTACGTGAAGGCAACATAAAACTTTTATTTTGGATTCCCAAATGAGAACTTCAGCAGCTTCCGTGTGTTCAGTTAATAAAAAATCAACACTTCTGCACAGAGCCAGGTTTATATGGTTGACCTGAGACCTGCAGAGGTCACACATGCATATGCAAACCCTCATGGAACTCTTGCCCTCTGAACTCACATGTGTTTTACGTCTCTCTGCCGCCACCCTGATAGTGTTTTCATCTTCAGATGGCAATCACAGCAGCAAAGGTAAAATCCTGTTATGTGCTGTAGAATTTCATGACACTCCACAGCGTCCTAAAATGTTTTTTTTTAACTGGCATTTCCTCTAAACACACGAATCAAAGATATGAAGAAAGTTTAATAATTACAGCATTTTGATTATTCCACAAAAGAGCAGCTCCTTTCATATTTCCCCCCGTGAGTGGAAGCCAAAGTTGTGTGTTTACTATGAAACACAAAAACATCATGTACTGAACAGCATTTATGACACTGTGTCTGTTTTGCACATCCAAGTTCTCTGATGAGTTTTCATGATGCAGGTGAAAGGAGCACAGGATGTGTCCTAACGCAGATAAGAAGTCAACACCACACAGGTGACTGGTGGTGATTACTCTTTCTACCCTGCTATTAAAACGCTAAAGAAAAAGGATCGGTTCTTTTAGAAAAGGGAAAACCCACAGTATAGCATTTTCAAGATAACAATTTGAAATCTACTCACCATTATATTAAAAATTATTTTGGAATTTTTAATTCAGCGAATTAAAATCTCTGAAAATCCAAAAACTGAGCCAACAGTTGAGCTCCAGCAGGAAAAGTCTGTCAATGCCTTAGCTCCGCGTTGCAAATGTACATATATCCCAGTCCTGTCTCTATCTCTGGAGGCTATTGCATTGCCTAGTCCCTTACTCCATCCACTATTTCTCTGTATACTCCCACTCTGACTCTGACTTTGGAGACGCCTCTTGATCGGTCTGCTGGTAAAACAATAACTATGAGTGTTTTATTCTCATTCAGATCATCTTACTCATATTTATTCCAGATAAGTGGAACTAAACTCCCAATTTTACATATTGAAAACACTTTAAACATTTATTATTTGGAGGAAAGTAGAGACAACGTAAATGTTTCATGTTGTTCTTACATTAAAGTTTTAGAGACGTGTACTTGGTCAGCCTGGCTCCTGTTTTCAAACTAAGGAACATGAGTAGCTCATCAAATGATAGATAATAATGTAATGGAGTCAGACTGTCAGGGGCCTGATAGATTTAAAGTCTAGTGTAGTCTAATGGGTCATCACTGCTCTGTAAGAGGCGGATTGTACTTTTACAAATTATGCTCAGAAGAATTGTACAAAGCCACAGCAGCAGTTTATGGAAAGACCTGGTAAGTAAAAGTCATCACAATTCCACTCTGGGGGTCCCTGCCTCCCACACAGTAGACACATTTATACACAGACATGTCTGTGAAGGTTCTCAGTCATCCAGCTCATTGTAGTCTAATGGGCTTGGAAAGAAAAGCGTCTGGACTTCTTTAAGTTTCCTTGAAGACGTTTCACCTCTCATCCAAGAAGCTTCTTCAGTTCTAAGATCAAATGGTGGAGAGTCCCAGGTTTTAAGTCCTATGGGTGTGTCCCTCTTAAGAGGGTCATGGACCCCCTATTGATCCTCTACCTAATCACACTAGCCAAGGTGGGAAAACGGGTGTGGGTCACAACCAGCCAAGGTTTCAGGTGAACCCATTGTGAAACCTATCCCCACCCTATCATGTGATATATTGAGGTCCATTTGACCTCAATAAATCACATGACCCTCTTGGGGACACTCCCATAGGGCTTAAAATCTGGGACTCTCCACTAGTTGCTCTTAGAACTGAAGAAGCTTCTCAGATGAGAGGTGAAACGTCTTCAAGGAAACTTAAAGAACTCCAGACGCTTTTCTTTCCAAGCTCCTTAGACTATACAGTCACTGCTCACTTCAGTGACCAAATATATTTTTCGACATCACATCTTCCATTTAAGCTAGAGCTTAACTCTTAATAGCAGAAAAAAAAACTAGCCAGATTAATTTAAACAATTCCTGCAAACACACACACACACACACACACACACACTGAGCTCCATTTGACCCTTGAAACATGTCTGCTCAAGTTCATATACATGTTTGACAAAATAAAACACACAACATCTATCAGTGAAATTGGATTTTAATAGATAAATATATGTCACATCTTTGTTTTCCATACAGAAGGTTTGACATTTGAGTCCTTGCAGGACATTTTGTGTCCAGGGACGAGTGGTTTGCCAGTAACTCCATCTGGTGGAACAGACTTGTGTAATGTTTACACAGACAAGAAAGCTCCCATTAGGCTTAACTGAAAAAACACAACCACAGTCCATATTTATTGGGCTCCGAGTCCTCTGTCCAGCAACCAACTTATAGTGACTTCAAAGAGCAAGCTGATTCCAGATCAGTGCTTCTAGATAAACAGCAATCCAAGACATTTGTCATCAATCAGTAGAAAGACACAATTACATTAGAAAGTTATGAATATCAGTCAACGCAAATCAACACTCCTGATTTCTAGAACACGAGACCGTGATTATGTCTGTGGTAGAATACGCTGATATGTTTGATATACACTAGGTTGCTCCTTGATCATGTCAGAACACAGGCAGGTGCATTTCTTTGGGAAACTTCCCGTCAAGGTGACACTTCACACGTGGCTCCATGAAGTGCACCCCATGAGAGAGAAAGCTATGAATGAAGGCAATCCAACCCTGATCACGAGCTCAGACGAGACAAACAGGAAACACGCAACGGCTCCTCACTCGTTAATGTGAGCCATACGTTGGGTTTTTTGCATTTCTGCACAAGTTAAATATGTTTGTGAAAAGGTAGGACCCACAGAATACGATTACAGACACAGAGAGCATAAATAGAATTAATAAAAATATATATCATCTATCGAACTTTCTAGTGCTTTTGTCTTGTTTCGCTTCAAATGCATAAAAGTGCACATCGTTTCTGGATGAATACTAAGACACAGAGATACACAGAGAGCTACAGGAGAGAAATACATAAGAATAAGTAAATAACAGGAAGGGATGAGAGGTCACGGTGGTGTGCGTCTGTATATCTGTCCAAGGTGTTTTTGTACATATGCGTGTGAATGCATTAAGAGAATGGTAATGTGTGTGTAGCTACAATATATCCAGAAATATACTGTACAGTGGAGAGGCAGTGTGGTGCATCAATTCTGCTGTGTTTTTATCAACAGCAGTCGGCAGGATCCCGGGAATGTTTTCATGCTGTAACAGTGGTGTAAGGTGGAGGAGCCTGCTTGGGAGGGACACTGACACTGTCATCATAAGGAGGTAACAGCACCTGGAAGACAAAGAAATGAGGACATGACTCAGAATAAACACCATGAAAATCAGTCTGATCAATATGAACATGTTTTTGGTAAAGTTGCATAATATTACATCACTTTTGATGTAACTTGAAACAGAAAAAATGAAATATTAAAAATTTATTTTGGATTAAGTGAAATATTTGTAAGCCCAGAGAGAACAGCTTGCACAGAAATCAGTCTGATTCCCCAATAAAATAGGCTAAACTGCAGGGCTGCAGTTAAATATGATTATATAACATGTAAAATGCAAGTATGGCAAGATGACCAGTCTTATTTGCACTGCACATTACATAAGCAGTTGGAGCGGTTGATTGGAAGCCTTCTTAGACAAAATATTAAAATAAATGTCATACATAAGAAAAAAAGGCATGCAAGCAGCAGGCTGTACTTCAGCACAGTGCGGCTTTGACCTATATACTACCATGCTTACAACAGCAGTGCTAACATGTAGTAGCCATCAAGCTTCCCGTGCTCATTTTTGAATTTATTTGCAGGACTTTTCCCTGTTATTTTATGTAAAAAATATATATTTTTAAATCTACTACTGAAATACTATTACTATTATATCAGGAAGGAAATGTAGTACATGAAGCAAGTGTCCTAAAATTGTGCCACGTGAAAAACAAAAGCATCTGTCAGCAGCCAGATTTAGTTTAGAGCTGTATACAGATAACTAGAGAGGACAGATCTACTTGTTCATCTTTTATTATTCACCCCCTACACCAAAAGTAAAAGTAGGATAAGTGGGGAGTTCCAAACTAAATCTGGCTAATGGTTGTCTATATGCATCACAGAAGGCACAGTCTCAGCTGGACTGATGTCTCCGCTCAATGCCGTGTCCCGTTATGTGATATGATAGAGCCAGAATTGAGGTCCCACCATGAAGGAACTTAAAAAAAAAACTGATGCATTTTAAGGCTGTATAATGTTTTCCTGGATCTGAAAGATTTCTTTCAGCATTCCAGCACTCATTCTCACAACAGAAATGTGGGCTTCCTCAACAACGCTATGTGTTTGACCTGCATGTGTTATTAAATATTTAACAACGAGTCAACGAGGGTACAGTCTTGCCTTTGTGACAACAAACTTTAATGATGTTAAAATAAATATGTGGGATATTAAGTAATCAATAATTTCCTTTAGGCCTGTACTTGCATATATTAGATCATTTTAAAGAGTTTCAGCACATACTGAAATCGTTTTAAAGTGCATACTGTAGCATGTGGTATGCATATCATGAACTTTAAGGTTACTACACAACTTCAATCATCTGTCTGTGCCCTGCTGTGACACATGTGACATCATCTGTTGTCCAGAAAAAGAACAGTGCATTGCATCTGGTCACATCTGGTGCATTAGATTATAAATAAAAAAGAATTGACCGAGTGCAGGAGAGCCAGCACAAGAGTCGGCGAAAACAAAGTAATTCAATGGAAACAAAACACACCATGTATAATTTAAGGGAAAGGAGAAAGAAGGTACAGGTGGATTCAACTGAGACAATTGTGAGCTGCAGAAAGGGGGGGTGCTAAAATAAAGAGAAAGGAATATAAGGATGCTAAGCCCAAAATAATAAAATAGGAAGCAAACTGACAGAGAGGGAAACACAGGAGTCAGGATTACAACCGGAAGCAAGTAGCACAGGAATCACTATGGCAATATTGGGGTATAGTAAATCTTCTGCTGCATTGTGTGTGTATTGGAAAGCATCTATGGATACACAGTGGATCAAATCTAACAGTTGCTATTCCATTCTAGCTAATAAATCCCCAGTCTGTGTGCCATGCCTGAACGACACCGTGATCTGTGGGGAGTGGGGCCAAGCAACAGTCAACACCCACACCAACTCCATGAAGAGAAATTAAGCATGCTTTCTTCTATGATGCATTTATTTATTGTTCCAATAAAGCACCTGTGTGTGGGTGTCAATTACTTTTCTTTATGCCCAAGAATACAGTTCACATGCAATGCATTAGTGGACCTTTGACCTAACCATCATATAATTGATGTAACACCATGCAAGCTGCTAACCAAAAGCCACAAACCCGGCTGTGGTATGTGGGGGAGCTTCCATTAAATATGGCTAGCTCTGATTGAAAAAGCATCCCTGCAGACGTGAGGCTGATGTTAGGAAATAAATGGCTGCTGATATTCTGGCACTCCTCACTGGTGATGTCAGTCAGCTGGAAAGTTGCCTCCTGGGTCTCTCTTTACAGCCCACGTGTTTTACACATCAGGAGCGAGTGGAACTACAGCGCGTAGACCATCAAGTGCTGTTTTAAATTGTGTGCAGTGTTACGCCCTGAGGGGTCGAGCACAGGTTTTGTCAAAATACTTGTGAAACCCAATATATTGCAAGGTCAAATATCAGTCCTGATGGGGCCAGTTACTGGCAGCTCCTTATGTGTTCAGACCGAAAACCACGTTTTGCAATAGTCAAAACAGTCATTAGTGTTTCTATAGCTCCGTTAGTCTTCTCCCCTC